GGAACTCAAGCCCTGGGATTCCAATTTCAAACTCTGAATTTGAGAGGGAAGGGAGACGACTACTGCTTTAATAAGTCTCGGTTCCTCTTCCTCGGAACAGATTCCAACAGTTGTACTACATCAAACAAATGAGATTAACGAGAGGGACCCCTCATTTGGGAGCTCACGCCTTGTCCTTCACTATGCAACCAGTGTCTCCGCGTAGTTAAGCCAGCACCACTGCATCACCTCATCTCGCTTAGTGTATCTGGGCTGCGCATAGCAGTGTGTAAAACTTACCAGTGTGTAAAACTTAAATAAGTATTCGTGTAATTAAATAAGTTTGGTTAAACAATTGGGCAGATGTGACGTACCAATTATTTCTTACGATGGTCTTGACGCAGGTGTCATGTGTATATAAATGAAAATTATGTAGATTTAATTAAAGAAAACCAAATAAAGCCAGATACTGATTTATTTCTGATCAGAAGAAACAATCTCCTGTTACAAACGAATATTCTGGAGAAAGAAACGGAAAATGTTGAGAAAATAAGCTAGTCTATCCTCGTAAATTTAATACGCAATGTTTTCTCAGTTTTCTTCTCTTATTTATATTTTATTTTAAAATCTCTTCAGTCTTAATGGGAAAACTATTTAATTTCTATTAAAAAAATGCAATTTGATAAAATTGTTTTAAATAACTGGGAAATTGGCACCCACACAACTCAAAATCAATGAAAAAGCACTTCTAATTAAGATACACCTGTGTTCAGGGTTTAACCCGTAAACGGTCCAAACGTATATATACGTTTTTTTTTAACATTTGAAAGTATGTAAAAAAAGCAGATCTTCTTTTTGTTTTTTTACATTTGAAAATGTGTAAAAAAAACTTTGATCTACTTTTTTTTTTTGTTATATTTGAAAATATGTCAAAAAACGTAGATCTGCTTTTGTAGCAGTACACATGTGAACGTAGATCTGCTTTTGTAGCAGTACACATGTGAACGTAGATCTGCTTTTGTAGCAGTACACATGTGAACGTAGATCTGCTTTTGTAGCAGTACACATGTGAACGTAGATCTGCTTTTGTAGCAGTACACATGTGAACGTAGATCTGCTTTTGTAGCAGTACACATGTGAACGTAGATCTGCTTTTGTAGCAGTACACATGTGAACGTAATCTGCTTTTGTAGCAGTACACATGTGAACGTAGATCTGCTTTTGTAGCATACACATGTGAACGTAGATCTGCTTTTGTAGCAGTAACACATGTGAACGTAGATCTGCTTTTGTAGCAGTACACATGTGAACGTAGATCTGCTTTTGTAGCAGTACACATGTGAACGTAGATCTGCTTTTGTAGCAGTACACATGTGAACGTAGATCTGCTTTTGTAGCAGTACACATGTGAACGTAGATCTACTTTTGTAGCAGTACACATGTGAACGTAGATCTACTTTTGTAGCAGTACACATGTGAACGTAGATCTGCTTTTGTAGCAGTACACATGTGAACGTAGATCTACTTTTGTAGCAGTACACATGTGAACGTAGATCTGCTTTTGTAGCAGTACACATGTGAACGTAGATCTATTTTTTGTAGCAGTACACATGTGAACGTAGATCTGCTTTTGTAGCAGTACACATGTGAACGTAGATCTGCTTTTGTAGCAGTACACATGTGAACGTAGATCTACTTTTGTAGCAGTACACATGTGAACGTAGATCTACTTTTGTAGCAGTACACATGTGAACGTAGATCTGCTTGGACCGTTTACGGGTTAACGACGACCAGAAGAGACATTCTCTAGTGTTTTACATGGGAGACTATTTAATGATAAAATAAAAATATAATCCGAATATGCGTTAAACCTGGAAGGGTTATACAGCGCTGCAATTAAAGTTACAAAATTAAAATATATTTTGCCCAAAGTGAGTATCAAGTTTTTCTTTAGTAGAGTCCACTAACGGTAAAAAGTTTGAAGCCGATCAGGAAGGGCATTCCCGAGCAATTAATCTTATGTCAACAATTCCAGTTTTTTTGTAACAATTTCAATTAATTTCGAATCTGCAGTAACTCAGACTAAAGTATCGGGGCATCAGTTTTCATACAGACTCAATCGTAACTAATAATATCAAGATGGTCAGAAAAAAACATTCGTTAGTTATTTAATTTAAATGAAATAAATTAAATAAATAAATAAAGGCCACCGTTGGTTCAACTGATTTCCCAAACTACAACCCAAACCAGGTAAGGTTAATATATGTTCCAAATGTTGGACTCAATTTCAAAGCAAACTGCGTTGAAATTGGGTCCATCAATTTGAAACACACTACTACCAGGAGAAGAATCTAAAACTCAGACCCGAAGAAATCGGGAGTATTACAGCTGTCCGCTAGATGGCAGTGCTGGCGGCGACACACCAACTGTCCCTCGGAATCTGAAATAACCATTAGCACAATTTACCGACTTTTCCCCTCACAGTCATTATTCAATAAAATTAGCAAACTGAGACTAGGGCCGCCCAGTAACAGCATGATTTTCGCGTTCAGGAAACCACCCAAGTGGTGAAAATTTGAAGCCGATCTGATGAATCGTTCTCCATTTATAATATGAATTACAATGACTCCAAGTTGTTGTTTTTTTAAATGTTTTCGTATATTGGAAAATTTGCTCACACAGACCAAACTGATTACATCGACTCCAGGCTGAGAGACCGATTACCTCAAACTCCTTCTGATCTTCACAATTTTTCTTTGTATAGGACTGATGACGCCACTGTGTGGCGAAACGTTTCCACAATAAAGATACCCAAGAGTTGCACATGTGTCTAATTTATTAACATGTCGGTTCTCCGAACCATTTGTCTACATTGTACAAAATACTGTCACCTTACGTCTATATGAGAAAACGTTTAAAAGGCCCATTACTTGGGCGAAACGTTGCATACATTGGTTTCATTACACTGGATTTATGTGTCTACATTAATTTTTAGTCAATGAACTTCTAAATATGGCAGTTTATTATCACTGTACTGGATATGGGCCCATTATGTGACTACCGCCAGCAGGATGGGTATGGGATGAGTACCTTCCACAGGATGGGTAAGGGATGAGTACCTTCCACAGGATGGGTATGGGATGAGTACCTTCCACAGGATGGGTATGGGATGAGTACCTTCCACAGGATGGGTATGGGATGAGTACCTTCCACAGGATGGGTATGGGATGAGTACCTTCCACAGGATGGGTATGGGATGAGTACCTTCCACAGGATGGGTATGGGATGAGTACCTCCCACAGGATGGGTATGGGATGAGTACCTTCCACAGGATGGGTATGGGATGAGTACCTTCCACAGGATGGGTATGGGATGAGTACCTCCCACAGGATGGGTATGGGATGAGTACCTCCCACAGGATGGGTATGGGATGAGTACCTTCCACAGGATGGGTATGGGGTGAGTACCTCCCACAGGATGGGTATGGGATGAGTACCTCCCACAGGATGGGTATGGGATGAGTACCTCCCACAGGATGGGTATGGGATGAGTACCTTCCACAGGATGGGTATGGGATGAGTACCTTCCACAGGATGGGTATGGGGTGAGTACCTTCCACAGGATGGGTATGGGATGAGTACCTCCCACAGGATGGGTATGGGATGAGTACCTTCCACAGGATGGGTATGGGATGAGTACCTTCCACAGGATGGGTAAAGGGATGAGTACCTCCCACAGGATGGGTATGGGATGAGTACCTCCCACAGGATGGGTATGGGATGAGTACCTCCCACAGGATGGGTATGGGATGAGTACCTCCCACAGGATGGGTATGGGATGAGTACCTTCCACAGGATGGGTATGGGGTGAGTACCTTCCACAGGATGGGTATGGGATGAGTACCTCCCACAGGATGGGTATGGGATGAGTACCTCCCACAGGATGGGTATGGGATGAGTACCTCCCACAGGATGGGTATGGGATGAGTACCTCCCACAGAATGGGTATGGGATGAGTACCTCCCACAGGATGGGTATGGGATGAGTACCTCCCACAGGATGGGTATGGGATGAGTACCTCCCACAGGATGGTATGGGATGAGTACCTCCCACAGGATGGGTATGGGATGAGTACCTTCCACAGGATGGGTATGGGATGAGTACCTTCCACAGGATGGGTATGGGATGAGTACCTCCCACAGGATGGGTATGGGATGAGTACCTCCCACAGGATGGGTATGGGATGAGTACCTCCCACAGGATGGGTATGGGATGAGTACCTCCCACAGGATGGGTATGGGATGAGTACCTCCCACAGGATGGGTAAGGGATGAGTACCTCCCACAGGATGGGTATGGGATGAGTACCTCCCACAGGATGGGTATGGGATGAGTACCTCCCACAGGATGGCTATGGGATGAGTACCTCCCACAGGATGGGTATGGGATGAGTACCTCCCACAGGATGGCTATGGGATGAGTACCTCCCACAGGATGGGTAAGGGATGAGTACCTCCCACAGGATGGGTATGGGATGAGTACCTCCCACAGGATGGGTAAGGGATGAGTACCTCCCACAGGATGGGTATGGGATGAGTACCTCCCACAGGATGGTATGGGATGAGTACCTCCCACAGGATGGGTATGGGATGAGTACCTCCCACAGGATGGGTAAGGGATGAGTACCTCCCACAGGATGGGTATGGGATGAGTACCTCCCACAGGATGGTATGGGATGAGTACCTCCCACAGGATGGGTATGGGATGAGTACCTTCCACAGGATGGGTATGGGATGAGTACCTCCCACAGGATGGGTATGGGATGAGTACCTCCCACAGGATGGGTATGGGATGAGTACCTCCCACAGGATGGGTATGGGATGAGTACCTCCCACAGGATGGACAACGAAGTTATTAAAATAGCACAATAATACAGGCGCATATTATGCATTCATCTGACTTGCCATTTTCTTTTTTCCAGGCAGTGCGCTCTAATGCGCTGGTGTTGGTGACGTGGCTACGGTAGAGTGGCGCATGAGCAGAGAGTCACGGTCGAGGGCGTGCGGTGAGGCGGCGCGGGAGTGGGCGGGAGGTGAGCCCCCCCGCCAGGCAGCCATGTGGCGGGGGGGCGCGGCGGGGGGCAGGTAGTGCGCAGCATGACGCATCTTCACGACCACGACAATGATGACATTGAGCGGGAGCTCTACCAGCTCGGCCTCACTGACGTCCCGCCGCCCCCGCCGCCGGCCCTGCGGGGGGCGCTGCCCTCCGCGTGGCCGCCCGCGTCCTCCACCCGCAGCCGCTCCGCCCCCTCTATCCAGGAGGACTCTCTCGTCGACCCGCCCCCCGTCCTGATCAACCCCAGGCCGCTACCCCCAGGCCGCAACCCAGGCCCCCCACCCCATGAACCCCTCACCGCCTTCACCAGCGTCGCCGGGGATGTGGGCGGGCGGGGGCGGCTGGGCTTGTGGGGCGGCGCCCCCCCGCCCATATCTGGGCTGCACCACAGCCTTACCAATCTGACGGGTGACAACCCTGGGCGCAACCACCCGCCGCCGCCGCCGCAGACCAAGCGCTCCCCCGCCGCGCTCTTTAATGGTGGCCTCACCACCGCCGCCGCCGCCACCACCAGCGAGGAGGCGGCGGCGGCGCTGGCGGGGCTTCCGGTATCGGCGTACACCACGGCGGCAGGCGTCGTGTGGACGCAAGATCCCGGCGCCGTCCACTACCCCGTGTACGTCATGCCGCAGGACTTCAACAAGCTGCCGCGGGGACCGCGCGACGCCTCACCGCGCACCGTCCTGGCGGAGGAGGACGAGGAGCGGCTGGCAGCGCTGGTGTCCAGTGTGGAGGCCGCGCTGCGCAGCATCCACCTGGGACTGCAGGAATCCTACATCATGTACGAGAATCCTGATGATGAGGAGGATCCCCCGCCCCCCCAGCCCGTCACCGCGTCCCTCAGGGACCCCCCGCCATCCCCCGTCCCGCCGACCGAGCTCCCGGGGTCTCCGCCCCCACCCGCCAGCCCGCAGGGACCGCATCCGCCCCCGGCGGGAGGGATAGGTGGCGGCGCCCCTCGTTTGGTGGGTCCCGACAACGCTTCCCGTCTATCCCGCCAGCTGGGATTTATTCCCATCCAAGAGGGCGCCCCCCAGCCGCCTCAGCCGCCCCCCCGCCACGCTGACCACCACAAGCACCAACACCATCTACGTAAACTCAGCAAGAAGGTCAAAAACCATAAATCAAAGGTAAGAACAACACAAAAATCAGACTGGTTTTTGTTTATTGTTTGACCTAATGTGACACTGGTCTTTATTGTTAGACTTTACGTTCCATTGGTCTTTATTGTTAGACTTTACGTTCCATTGGTCTTTATTGTTAGACTTTACGTTTCATTGGTCTTTATTGTTAGACTTTACGTTCCATTGGTCTTTATTGTTAGACTTTACGTTCCATTGGTCTTTATTGTTAGACTTTACGTTCCATTGGTCTTTATTGTTAGACTTTACGTTCCATTGGTCTTTGTTAGACTTTACATTCCATTGGTCTTTATTGTTAGACCTTACGTTCCATTGGTCTTTATTCTTAGACTTTACAGACCTTTGAGGACAATTGTGTTGCAGAGGTCTGAACAAAGCTCAGACCTCTGCAATACAATTGTCTTCAGAAAATTGTTAACTCATACCATAAATTAAGGAAAGATCCTGGACTTCACTTTACAAAAGTAGACAAAGCAAATGCGATAGTAATTGTGGACAAGGTAGATTATAGGAGAATTATAACATATTAGTAGACAGCTGTACTGATGTGCACCTTAATGTTGATACTATGAGTACAAGCCTTACTTATAAGGCTTAGTTTTAATTACAATAACAGCCTTACTTATTCACTGTCTCCTTTCCCCTCACGTCCAGGTGCTACTCTCCGGGCTGATGGCCTGTCCTGGCCCTGGCTTCCGCCTCCTCAACATCCACAGGGACTCCAAGTCTGGCCAAGGCTTCGGCTTCTCCATCAAGGGCGGCCGCGAGGCAGGTGAGTGACAAAGGTGGTATCGCATGCTGAAGAAGGCGCCCTCCTCTGGTTAACCTTGAGGAACCTGGCCTTTGTAAGTACGTACACAAATGTGCGCTGAACCAAACAGCAGAAAGGAAGTGTGTGAAGGGAAAATTTTTTTTTTTCAACAAGTCGGCCGTCTCCCACCGAGGCAGGATGACCCAAAAAAGAAAGAAAATCCCCCAAAAGAAAATTATTTCATCATCATTCAACACTTTCACCACACTCACATATTATCACTGCTTTTGCAGAGGTGCTCAGAATACAACAGTTTAGAAGTATATACATCATGTAAACATCATAAACTAAATTGACGTAGCACGTAAGATTGTTCACTAAGAGAATGGTAATGAACCCTACGAGCCCTTACATAAATGGGACAAGAGCATTCTTGATGTATCATCGGATTATTATTATTATTTAATTAGTAGAGCTAAGCAAGTGTCGGAAACAGCGCAAAGAATAGTGAAGAGATGGATAGTGCTTCCGCTCAGCGTGGGAGATGCTGCCTTTCAGTAAACAATATTTAATACATCTTAATGAAGGCAGCCACTCCCGTGTACACCTTTGTGAAGGTGTCATCCTAGTGTGGGTAGATGAACGTAAATTAGCCTCGTCTCTTAATGAACCGGCACATTTAAAAAAAATCATATGACAGTTACAATGAAATCTAAAATAATGAATTTTTAGTCAAAATATTTCAATTTTATTGGAAAGCAGAAAATATTCAGTAAAATCGTAAATTATGGGTAGTATCAATTAAAATGTGATAATCTAAGTAGTAATTCGCCGTTACTGAGATAAAGAATGATTGTTATTTGACGTAGATTCTGTTGTTGTTGTTGGTACGTCTGTCTTTTGTCCACTCACCAGAACTTTTTATGGCCTTAATAGCATACTTCATTTATCGTCTTTGTCATACTTTATAATTAGTTAAATTTTACTGATAAAGGAAACCTGACCTAAAGTAACCTAACCTAACCTAACCTGAAGTAACCTAACATAACCTAACCTAACCTGAAGTAACCTAACATAACCTAACCTAACCTGAAGTAACCTAACATAACCTAACCTAACCTGAAGTAACCTAACATAACCTAACCTGAAGTAACCTAACATAACCTAACCTAACCTGAAGTAACCTAACATAACCTAACCTGAAGTAACCTAACATAACCTAACCTAACCTGAAGTAACCTAACCTAACCTAACCTCAAGTAACCTAACCTAACCTAACCTAACCTGAAGTAACCTAACATAACCTAACCTAACCTGAAGTAACCTAACATAACCTAACCTAACCTGAAGTAACCTAACATAACCTAACCTAACCTGAAGTAACCTAACATAACCTAACCTAACCAGAAGTAACCTAACCTAACCTAACCTGAAGTAACCTAACATAACCTAAACCTAACCTGAAGTAACCTAACCTAACCTAACCTCAAGTAACCTAACCTAACCTAACCTGAAGTAACCTAACATAACCTAAAGTAACCTAACCTAACCTCAAGTAACCTAACCTAACCTAACTTAACCTAACCTAACCTAACCTTAAGTAACCTAACCTAACCTTAAGTAACCTAACCTAACCTTAAGTAACCTAACCTAACCTTAAGTAACCTAACCTAACCTTAAGTAACCTAACCTAGCCTAACCTGAAGTAACCTAACTTAACCAGTCTAACCTAAAGTAACGAAACCTGATCTAACCAACTTAACCTAAAGTAACGAAACCTGATCTAACCAACTTAACCTAATATAACCTAACATAACCTAACCAACTTAACCTAATGCAACCAAACCAACCAAACCTAAAGTAACCTAAGCAAACCTAAATCATCGTAACCTAAGCTAACATAACCTAAAGTAACCTAACCTGTGACCTGTGGTGGTGTGGACGAGTGTAACCTGTGGAAATGTGGGTTAGTGTGACTGGTGTGGACGAATGTGACCTGTTAATGGTATGGGTTAGTGTGATTTGTGGTGGTGTGGACGAGTGTGACCTGTGATGGTGAGGGTTAGTGTGACTTGTGGTGGTGTGGACGAGTGTGACCTGTGATGGTGTGGGTTAGTGTGGCCTGTGGTGGTGTGGACGAGTGTGACCTGTGATGGTGTGGGTTAGTGTAGCCTGTGGTGGTGTGGACGAGTGTGACCTGTGATGGTGTGGGTTAGTGTGGCCTGTGGTGGTGTGGACGAGTGTGACCTGTGATGGTGTGGGTTAGTGTGGCCTGTGGTATGGACGAGTGTGACTTGTGGTGTGGGTTAGTGTGACCTGTGGTATGGACGAGTGTGACTTGTGGTGTGGGTTAGTGTGACCAGTGGTGGTGTGGACATGTGACCTGTAGTGGTGTGGACAAGTGTGACTTGTGTTGAGTGTGACCTGTGGTGGTATGGGTTAGTGTGACCTGTGGTGTGGAGGAGTGTGACCTGTGGTGCGGGCTAGTGTAACCTGTGGTGCGGACAAGTGTGACCTGTGGTGGTGTGGACAAGTGTGACCTGTGGTGTGGTGTGGGTTAGTGTTGTGGTGTGGACAAGTGTGACCTGTGGTGGTGTGGTGTGGGTTAGTGTTACTTGTGGTGTGGACAAGTGTGACCTGTGGTAGTGTGGTGTGGGTTAGTGTTACTTGTGGTGTGGACAAGTGTGACCTGTGGTGGTGTGTTGTGGGTTAGTGTTGTGGTGTGGACAAGTGTGACCTGTGATGGTGTGGTGTGGGTTAGTGTTACTTGTGGTGTGGACAAGTGTGACCTGTGGTGGAGACGAGTGTGACCTGTGGTATGGGCTAGTGTTACCTATTGTGGTGTGGACATATAACCTGTGGTGGTGTGGGCTAGTGTGACCATTAGTGTGGACGAGTGTGACGTGTGGTGTGGACGAATGTGACTTGTGATAGTGTGGACGGGTGTGACATGAGGGGTTGTAGACGGGTGTGACCTGTGGTGTGGACGGGTGTGACCTCTGGTAGTGTGGACGGGTGTAATTTGTGATGGTGTGGATGGGTGTGACCTGTGGTGTAGACGATTGTGACATGAGTGTGTGGACGAGTGTGACCTGAGTGTGGCCGGGTGTGACCCGTTGCTCAGTTTGTTACTTTAAAGTGAGAACAAGGGAAAGCTATCTTTAATCTCGCGTTTTTTTTTTGGAAAATTTGTTAAATGTGAAAAGTGACCTTATGACCTGAAATGGGTCATTTGTGTGACCTGGAGAGGGTTATCTGACTTGTAAGTGGTCACTAATTTGACCAGGAGGTTACATGACCTGTTGGTGTGGTCATGTATATTGACCTATAAGTGTAGTAATGTGTGTGACCTGGAGGTGTGGCAGTGTGACCTGGAGGTGTGGTAATGCACGTGACCTGGTGGTGTGGTAATGTATGTGACCTGGTGGTGTGGTAATGTACGTGACCTGGTGGTGTGGTAATGTATGTGACCTGGTGGTGTGGTAATGTGTGTGACCTGAAGGTGTGGTAGTGTGACCTGGATGAATGGAAGTGAAACCTGGAGTTGTAGTGTGTGATCTGGAGATGTGTGTGTGACCTGGAAGTGTGGTGTATGTGACACGAAGGTCTGTGTGACCTGGTGGGGCGGTAAATATGTACTCACCTAATTGGTCTCACCTAATTGTACTCACCTAATTGTGGCTGAAGGGGTCGATTCATCGCTCCTGTGTGTATGCGTGCGTGTAGTCACCTATTTGTACTCGCCTATTTGAGGTGTGTGTGTGTGTGTGTGTGTGTGTGTGTGTGTGTGTGTGGCATAGAGGTGTGGTCGGGTGTGCCCCCCCAGAGGGCATCATTACTGGTGTAAACACACACATAAACAAACACTTGGACATTTATTAGAAGTGATCAAGATTCCAGGACTGAAATATTTTCTGACATATCTTCCTGTTTGCTCATGCGTCTCTTCAACCCACCAAGTCCGTGTTAATTACCAATTGTGTCATCCTTATTTCATGGAAAGGGTCATCTGTGCAACCTAGTGGAAGTCAGGGTGACACGGACTGAGCCACCTATAACTTGTAGGGATCATCAGTGTGACCTGAACTAGGTCAGTGTGACCTGCAGGGATCATCTCTCCGACCTGAAGGTGTCTGGTGTTTGTCTCTGGAATTCACGAAGCACTGGCTCTCCCACCTCCAGTCTCAATATTTCACACTGTGTACTGGGCAAACTACATGCATTTGGAAGGCTGTGAGAGTGTTAGGGAGCAGGAATGGAGTAAAGGAGATGGGAAGAGAAAGGAAGGGGGAAGAGTTGGTTGGGATTTTGGGGTGTTAGGTGAGAGGGGGGGAGGAGAGGGATTAAGAGGGAGAGGGGGAAAATGGGTGATGAAGAGGAAGATGAGGAATGGTGGTTGAGTTAGGGGAAGGTGAGAGGAGATAAGAAGGTAATGGGAAATTTGAGGAAAGGAAAAGTAGAAAGGTGATGGAAAAGGGTGATTTAATGGTTTATGAAAAGAGGAAATGAATGGAATAATGAAGGGAAGGTATAAAACAGATGGGCAAGGAAGCAAAGTCCAGAGCAGGAGGAGAAGGATGAGCAGAAAGAGGAAGAGAAGAAGTAGGAGGAGCTAGGATGAAAAACCAGAAGTTTAACAAAAGTACTAAGAAGGGAAGGAAGAATGAGGTGAAGCGTGGATGGATGGAAGAGAGGGAATGAATGCAGGAGAGAGAAGGATAAGAGAGAAAAGAGGTAAAAGGAAGAATATAAATAAACTTGTGTATAGAAAATGAAACAGAGGATAACAGAAAAAGAAATTAATGCAAATATAAAATAAGACACATTTTCAGAAAAAAAGAATATAGACACGAGGACAAAGGAAGGAAAGAGAGGATACGCGAGGAGGGTAATGAGACGGAAGAGATACAGAGAGACAGTGGATGAAAAGTGTGAGGGGAAAGACAAGACATAATGGGAGCAAAAGAATAGAAGACGATGAATAAAGACAGGAGACAGACTGTAAAAGAAGAGTAATAACAACAACCAACAAGAAAACGCAGAAGAGAGACAACAACCAATATTAGAGTTACATAAAGCAAGAGAAGAGAGGGAGAGAGAGAGAGAGAGATTAACAAAACCTAGGAAAAGTGACAACAAAATAAGGCTGGAGAAGGAAACATAGCGAAAGAAAGTCTGAGAGAAAGAGCAACAGAATTTTGAGAGATGAAACATCACCATGAGATAGGAAATAAAGATAGTAAGAGAAAGTAGGAGAAGAATAGGGAAAACAGTAACTGAAGGTAGATTAGATGTAGCAACAGATGGTTCGAGACGAAGAGGATATACAACAATGAAGGCAGGAAATAGAGAGAGAGAGAGAGAGAGAGAGAGAGAGAGAAAGAGAGAGAGAGAGAGACGGAGAGAGAGAGCAATAAAAGGTTAGAGATGAAGGTAGACATCACAAGGCAAGTCAAGATGAATGATAAGCTCACAGGTAAGATATAGCTTAGGTTAGGTTAGGTTAGCTTAGGTTAGGTTAGGTTAGGTTAGGTTAGGTTAGGTTAGCTTTTGTTAGGTTAGGTTAGGTTAGCTTAGGTTAGGTTAGGTTAGCTTAGGTTAGGTTAGGTTAGGTTAGGTTAGGTTAGGTTAGCTTAGGTTAGGTTAGGTTAGGTTAGGTTAGGTTAGGTTAGGTTAGCTTAGGTTAGGTTAGGTTAGGTTAGGTTAGGTTAGGTTAGGTTAGCTTAGGTTAGGTTAGGTTAGGTTAGGTTAGCTTAGGTTAGGTTAGGTTAGGTAAGGTTTGTCAGGAAACAGGACAAGTGTTTCCTGACGCGGGTCTTTGTCAGATGATGACCCGCCGTTGGAGCTTTTGGTCATCTAACGAATACCTTCCGCTGGCTTACCGGTCCACCCCTTTAAAATTTATGGTCAGAATTATAAACATTTCTCCTTTTTTTTTTTTAAGAAATAGCGGGGGTTATTTAGAGGCTCCTTGAAAGGTCGACTTTGTGATCGACAAGTGAGAAAACGACGTGGCCAGCACAGCCAGAAAATATAGTGTTTATTACTGAAAATTAAGTGATTTTCAATCTGCGAGCAACAAGATTGAAAATAATACCTATGATACCTTCAAATTAACATTACAAATCGCCAGAAACTTTTGGTAGGCAAAACTTTTCAACATATATGGTCGACATTCTGTGAAAACAAAGCTTTAAATCGGAACATAGACTATTAAAAATGGTTTACTTTGTACATAGTCTCTATGCCAGGAAAAATACTAACATTATTATGCTCGTTTGTAAAGGCAATTTTGAATATGTTGCTACGTTAAAGGTCCTCAAGTTACATACAAGAAGATACGTTTAAGTTTATAAGTTATTCAGTTTATAAGTTTATTCAGGTATATACAAATATAGTTACATAGATTATACATAGCAGCATATGTGTAGATAACCTGGGATAACCCAAAAAAGTTAGAGTGACTTATTTCCATTGGGATCCTTTTAATACCTTATTATTATACATAAAGTATATATACTAGGAATAAGGTAAAAAGAGTTATTTACGTGGGTGTTAGCTAAAAAAAATAAATTATTCTACTCCCTGTCTGTCTCTACATTCATTAGGTACCTTTGGGTCTTGAAATGGTTCATGGTATGACTGGCTTTGACATGTGCAGGCAGTCTGTTTCGCTCCTTTATTGCTGTACAATAAAAGGTGTTTGAAGTTTGGCCACTAACCGTGAGTACTACAAAGTTATGCTCTCTCCCCTACAGTAATAGGTGCAGAAAAAGGTAACAAGGAGGGTACTCCCATTGAAAAATCGATTCAATAAATGAGGACACTAAAAACTAAGGTAGAGTAAAGGAAAGCTAAAAAAAATGGAAGCAAGGAAGTCATTTTTTATGCAAGGGAAATTAATGGCATGAGATGGGAAACATGAATCTCTTGGGAGGAGGGAGGAGGGGTGGAGGGAAGGAGGGAGGATGGTGAGGGAGGGGGGGAGGGTGGGGTGGAGGGGGGAGGAGGTGAGGGAAGGAGGGAGGATGGTGAGGGAAGGAGGGAGGATGGTGAGGGAAGGAGGGAGGATGGGAGGGGGAAGGGAGGGAGGTGGTGGGAAGGAAGGGGTGAGTGGTGAGGGAAGGAGGGAGGATGGTGAGGGAAGGAGGGAGGATGGTGAGGGAAGGAGGGAGGATGGTGAGGGAAGGAGGGAGGATGGTGAGGGAAGGAGGGGTTTGGGGGGGAAGGAGGGGGATGGTGAGGAAGGAGGGAGGATGGTGAGGGAAGGAGGGAGGATGGTGAGGGAAGGAGGGAGGATGGTGAGGGAGGAGGGAGGATGGTGAGGGAAGGAGGGAGGATGGAGGAGGGAGGAAGGGGGGATGGTTTGTTGGGGAGGGGAGGTGGTGGGGAAGGAGGGAGGATTGGTGAGGGAATGGGGGAGGTTGGTATGGAGGGGGTTGGTGAGGGGGTGGAGTGGTGAGGGAAGGAGGGTGGTTGGTGAGGGAGGAGGGATTGTGAGTAAGGCGGTGTGGTGAGGAGGGGGTGTTGAGGGAAAGGGGAGGAGGTGGGAAGAGTGAGGATGGTGAGAAGGAGGAGGATGGTGATGGGAAGGTGGTGTGGAGGAGGGAGGATGGTTGATGCGGGGGGTGGTGGAGGAGAGTGGAGGGAATGGTGGAGATGGTGAGGGAAGGGAAAGTGAGGGAAGGGGGATGGTGAGGGAGGAGGGCAGTGGTTGAGGTGAATGGGATGATTGTGGATGGGGAGATGGTGATGTTTTGAAAGGTGAGGGAAGGAGGGAGGATTGGTGAGGTAGGAGGATGGTGAGTGATAGGGGTGGTGGGTAAATTTGGGGGGGTATGTTTGTTATGGGATGTGGGAAAGAGAGTGGTGTGGGGAAGGAGAGGTTGGTGAGGGGGGGGGGGGTGAGGGAAGGAGGGAGGATGGTGAGGGAGGAGGGAATGGAGAGGGAAGGAGGGAGGTGGTGAGGGAAGGAGGGAGGATGGTGAGGGAAGGAGGGAGGATGGTGAGGGAAGGAGGGAGGATGGTGAGGGCAAGGAGGGAGATGGCGAGGGAAGGAGGGAGCGATGGTGAGGGAAGGAGGGAGGATGGTGAGGGAAGGAGGGAGGATGGTGAGGGAAGGAGGGAGGATGGGAGGGAAGGAGGGAGGATGGTGAGGGAAGGAGGGGAATGGTGAGGGAAGGAGGGAGGATGGGATGGAAGGAGGAGGATGGTGAGGGAAGGAGGGAGGATGGTGAGGGAAGGAGGAGATGTGCGAGGGAAGGAGGGAGTTGGTGAGGGAAGGAGTGAGGATGGTGAGGGAAGGAGGGGGATGGCTGAGGGAAGGAGGGAGGTTGGTGAGGGAGAGGAGGGATGGTGGGAAGGTGGGAGGACTGGTGAGGGAAGGGGGAGGAAGGTGAGGGAATGGGAGGAATGGTAGGTGAGGGAAGGAAGGGGAGGATGGTGAGGGAAGGAGGGAGGATGGTGAGGGAAGGAGGGAGAATGGTGAGGGAAGGAGGGAGGATGGTGAGGAGGAGGGAGGATGGTGAGGGAAGGAGGGGATGGTGAGGGAAGGAGGGAGAATGTGAGGGAAGGAAGGAGGTGTTGAGGGAAGGAGGAGGAATTTGGGGAGGGAAGGAGGGAGGATTGGTGGGAAGGAGGGAGAATGGTGAGGGAAGGCGGGAGGTGGGAAAGGAGGGAGGATGTGTGGGAAGGAGGAGATGGTGAGGGAATGGACGGGAGGAGGTGAGGGAAGGAGGGAGGATAGGTGAGGGAAGGTGGGAGGATGTGAGGGAAGGAGGGAGAATGGTGAGGGAAGGGGGGGATGGTGAGGGAAGGAGGGAGGACGTGAGGGAAGGAGGAGGATGGTGAGGGAAGGAGGGAGAATGGTGAGGTAAGGAGGAGATGGTGAGGGAAGGAGGGAGGATGGTGAGGGAAGGACGGGGATGGATGAGTCGGGGAAGGAGGGAGGATGTGTGAGGGAAGGAGGGAGATGGTGAGGGAAGGAGGGTGGATGGTGAGGAGGAAGGGCATGGTGAGGGAAGGAGGGAGGATGGTGAGATGGAGGGCTAGGAGTGAGGGAAGGACGGGAGGATGGTGAGGAAGAGGGAGAATGGTGAGGGCATGGAGGGAGGATTGTGGGAAGGAGGAGGATGGTGAGGAAAGGGGTGAGATGGTGAGGGAAAGAGGGGAATGGTGGGAGGAGGGAGGATGTGAGGGAAGGGGGAGGATGGTGAGGGAGGAGGGAGATGGTTTAGGGAAGGAGGGATGTGGAAGGAAGGGAGGTGGTGGGAGGAGGAGGATGGTGAGGGAAGGAGGGAGGTGGTGAGGGAAGGAGGGAGGATGGTGAGGGAAGGAGGGGGATGTGAGGGAAGGAGGGGGATGGCGAGGGAGGATGGGAGGGATGGCGAGGGAAGGAGGGAGGATGGAGAGGGAAGAAGGGAGCGATTGGAGGGAAGGAGGGAGGATGGCGAGGGAAGGAGGAGGATGGCGAGGGAAGGAGGGGATGGGAGGGAAGGAGGGAGGATGTCGAGGGAAGGAGGGAGGTGGCGAGGGAAGGAGGGAGGTGTGGGGAGTGGGATGGGAGGGATGGGATGCGGGGGAAGGAGGGAGGATGGCGAGGGAAGGAGGGAGGATGGCAGGGAAGGATGGGAGGATGACGAGGAGGGAAGGAGGATGGCGAGGAGGAGGGAGGATGGGAGGGAAGGAGGGAGGATGGTGAGGGAGAGGGAGGATGGCAGGGAAGGGGAGGTGGGAGGGAAGGAAGGAGGATGGGAGGGAAGAGGGAGGATGGCGGGAAGAGGGAGGATGGGAGGAAGAGGGAGGATGGCGAGGGAGGAAGGAGGATGGCGAGGGAAGGAGGGATGGCAGGGAGGGAATGAGGAGGAGGTGGCGAGGGAAGGAGGGAGGATGGCGAGGGAAGGGAGGAGGATGGCGAGGGAAGGGAGGGGATGTGCGGGGAAGGGGGATGGCGAG